TTTAAGTGTGTTTAGTGTGTTTTGACTTAAAAATTCGAAAATCACATAAAAATTTGAAAAACATGTTTTGAAAAGCCTAAAAAGAGTGTTTTGAGTCGTTTTTGTGTCGTAGGTACCTTCCAACACAATGATAAGGATTTGGTTTGTAAGTGCATGACTGTTAAAAAGAGTTATAAACATAGAGAAAAGTTTGATTTACTCTTGGTATATGCTTGGTTATGGTTATAATGTATGACTTCACATGCAATCATAAAAGAAAAATTCGTTTTTGTAACATGCTTGAAGGAAGGAACTCAAACAAACGCTACAACCCTGAGAGACTTGAGCCTATAACGTTCTTTGGAGAGTATAATCTGTGATTTCTTGTTTTCTAAAGTCGTTGCATGATCTCATTATTCTTTGCTTGGTTACTACTTAGAAGGCGTTTCATCATATAGTTCCAAATGCTAGAACTCATGCCCATTTCATTCAAAGCATATTATTGATTTGCATAACACATATTCAAGATGAAGTTGTGTAGTGACCACCATCAAAGCCAAAAAGCCATGTGCCCTTAACTCATTTTGTGTTTAAGTTTAACCCCATTGAGCCGTGTTAGCCCATGTTCTTTGTTAACCCACTTTATCCTCACCTAACCTAGAATATGACCGTCCTTACCCTTGTTCTTGAAGCATAGTAAGCAATGAATTCCTTTTGATTAAGGTATTGTAAGAAAATGAGTGTGGGGGAAGGAATGCTTGTTCTTACGTTTATATGTATGTTTTGAGATTCAAAAAAAAAAAAAAAAAAAAAAAAAAGTGAAAATAAGTAAGAATGAACTCACGAGCGTTGATGGTTGAAGAAAGGGTCCAAAAAGTGAATATGGCCCTAAAGTTTTGTGTGACTTTCCCTTGGGTGTTCAAAGTTGACTTCTGCGTTCTTAAGGGAATTCTAAGTGCCTGATTCAATACTTTGCTCACTATTGCTTTAAGAATGTTTGTTTACCCTTCACCTTTCATTGTTAGCCAATACCCTAGCCCCGTTACAACCCTTTGACTTCTATCTTGAGTGTTATGTATTTCAATTGTGGAGTTTGAATTTGGTATGAGCATATGGTGTCACTGGTTCTCGCGTCTAAGTAGTAGCATTCCATTCATGAGATCATATCTAAACATGCTTATTAACTCCAGAAATTGCGTTCTTTGTGATACATATATGTGAGTGTCGTTTTCATGTTTACATCAATCTTCTCACATATGACTAGATTAGGGTGTGTAGTTAGAAATTCTGAGTGAAAATCGAGTGCATATCTTGTAAGGAATTGAGCAAATTCTCTAAGGCATGTTACTACATTCAAAACATGGTTTTAAATGCTTAATTGTGAACTAGTATATGGTGACTATGATTAAGAATGTACTTAAGTGTGAAGATGACTAAAATCTGTGGGAATGATGATTTTTAACTTGTCATGTGCATTGGAAATCCCTAAGACGGTTGTTGGAAGGTTTAGGTGTGTTTTACTTGTTTTGTTTCGTTTCGTTTTGTTTTGTTTTTCTTTCTGTTTTGCTCGAGGACTAGCAAAAGATAAGTGTGGGGGAGTTTGATAGGAGCATATTCATGCGACTTAAATGGCTTGTTCTCGTGCATTTACGTTATGTTTCTCTAGTTATTTTAGTCCTTTATGCTTCTTTTGTGTGTTTTCAGGTTCTAAGGGCTTAAGGAAGAAAAAAGATGCATTTTGGAGCAAAATTGGGCTTGGAATGGATGGCATATGATTGGAGCCAAAATGTTGGACGAATTTGAAGGCCTTGTATTCACTTTGGACATAAAACAAAGGGCCTAGCCCATTCTCTCTTAAACCAAGCCCTTTGCCATGCATTTCCTTCCAATTCCAAAGCCCACAATCAATTCAAATGCCATGCAAATCCATATTCAACACCCTAAACTACAAGCATGCATCATCTCACCAAGCAATCAAACAAGCCACATGCATGTCCCTTTAATCATTCAACCACATTCCCACTTTCCTAGCTAACCCTACATGCATTCTTTATTCACTCTTCATCATTGCACCACAAATCATTCACCCACATGCACTCATATTCCCATTTCCTTTCCAACATCTCACATGCATTTCCACCTTCCTACTTCATCATTTCACCACATTCTCCCTCTTTAATTCCACATGCATTCACTTCATCATTACACCACCACTCATTCTTTAATTCCACATGCAATTCTTCATCATTCCTTCACACAAATGCTTAAACAAACATCCATATGTTCCCTCCACTCCTCCTATAAATACCCTTGCATTCCCATTCATTCAAATCATCTCATTCACAACACAACAACACACCACAAACACATTCCTTTCTCCCTTAGAATCCAAAAACCATCTTCCATTTCCACCAATCCTCATCCATTTCCATAATTCCCCAACACTTCCATCCCCCCAACCAACCTATCCTTAAACCTTGTGCTACAACAACGAGGAAGAGAAGAGTGCCTAAACGTTCATACAATTCAAGTTTTGAGTTGTTGGAATGTTTAGGTGTTTCTTTGATTTCAAAGTTTCATTTTAATTCTCTTTGTTTTGTACGTATGAGAAATGGAAGAAAAGAGTGCTTAAACGTTCATACAATTCAAAGTTTTGAGTTGTTGGAATGTTTAGGTGTTTCTTTGATTTCAAAGTTATGAGGAACTAAACCCCCTTTAGCTAGGGGGTGATTCGAAACTATGTTTATGTTTGTAATATGATTTGATTACTTTTAATTACGTTTCATAAGTTGTGAATTCAATTTGTTTAACTGTTTGATTGATAACCTATTTATGTATGTTTATTAAGAATGAACGCTTAATTTTCATGCATGAATTTGACGCTAGAATATAAGTGAGTTTCACGTAATAGTTATGAACTTATATTCACAAGTAGTGGAGATTGCTTATAAACAATCGTGTTAAACATATTCTTGGCATAAGTTTCATGCAATCATAGTAACGAATGCCTCGTCAACACTTATAGTTTTCATGATGCTTAATGATTCTTGCTTGTATCTCTATTATGCAATTCATGTAGGGAACTTGTGAGGAATGCTTTGGATTGTCGTATGCAATCATCCAATTCATTAACTTAAGGAAAACTTGACGGTTAATTTAAGCGGACCTAATTAACCCGGGGCGTTGAGAATTCATGGTTTATTGAAATGCAATTAGAAATCTTTTTATTATGCAAGTGTAACATGTGTGGAGATAAACCCCTTGGCTAGCATCCATTCATTCCATTTCATTAATTTCATATTTACATTATGTTTTAATTGCAATTTGTTCATTTAGTTTAATTCCGTCCAAAACTCAATCCCCTTTACTTTATTGTTCAATTTAGTTAGAAATCATTTTAGTTTGTGTTTTTAAAGCATTTTGAGTCTTTTGTTTTGTCTTAGTGTTTTAACGTTTAGTTTCACATTCTTTGAGTCTAGTTTAGTGTTTTATCTTGTTTTTACGTTTTTGAAGTCAAATCCAAGTGGTTAACAATCCCTCCTAATCCCCGGTCCAGAACGATCCCTACTTACATCCATACTACAATTGTCAAAAAGAGGGTTTAATTTGTGCGCGTATAATTCTCGCATCAATTTACACGATAATGACACGCGGGTAACCTATTTCGACACGATAAGAAAAAAGTTATTTTGATGATTTTAATTTTTTAAACTATTAAAACAATTACTATAAAATACAATAGATATACTGGATATGTATATATAGTTTATTAATTATTATTGTATTTATTATTCTATATAAATTTTAAAAATTTAAATTATTTATTTATTTTATAGTATACTATAGGTAAAAAGTGAGATTAAAAAAATTATAATAATTAATTTACAAGTGCGAAAAATGTGAAAAAATATGCAAACGCTTGTAATTGCATCCTCTACACTTTGAGAATGGGTACATCGTCGTTTGAATTTTTAAAACCATACAAACCCTCAGGAATAATATTTTTAAGGGAGTTCAAAATAAATAAAATTCATAATCATTAATGTATAAGTCTGAAAAATGTGAAAGCATATATAAACCCTCGTAATTGCATCATCTACACTTAAATGATGGTTACATAGTTGTTTAGATTTTTAAAATCCTCCAAATCTCATGAATAGTGTTTTTTTATTTGAGTGCAAAATTAATAATTATTATTGTAGAAGTTTGAAAATGTAAAAAAAATGTATAGAACCACTCATAATGACAAGCTTTACAACTTTCTTGAAAGGGTCAACTCCGAAATCTGACACCATAATCCATAAACCTTAGATTTAAATTTAACCGTTCATTGTTATTTACGCTTTATTCTACTCATCGAATTTCATTTTTTAGATTTTCTTTTTTGTAAAGTAATCTTTAAGCTGATGTAGAAAAATGAACAGTTCGGATCGTTGATTTAACATTCTGATATTTATGGCTAACTAAAATATGAGAAGATGTTATATAGTTTCTAGAGACTTTATAAACTTTGATCTATATTTTCACTAATGGTAAAACTCTGAACGTAATATTAACGATCCGAACCATTCATCTTCTTGCATCTTCTAAGAGATCATGTTTTCAAAAAAGAAAATCCGAAAAAAAAAAAAAATTTGGTGAGAAGAATGGAGCATAAATGTAAACGATAATCAACGGTTAAATTTAGATCTATAGTTTTTGTGATTATAGTGGCGTATTTTGGAGTTGAGTCTTTCATGAAAATTGTAAAGTTTGTCATTACGAGCGTTTGTATATATTTTTTATATTTTTCAGATTTTTACATTAATTAAAAAACCTTACTTAAACAATAGCCATAGATTTAATCTCATTTATGTGAGATTAAATCTTTACCATTGGGTTCTATCTCACTTATATTATTATATTTTTTGGGACAAAAATACCCCTCCCCTTTTCAATATTTTCACCATCTAATCCTAGAAAAACCTGATCTTCTATAATCTCATCACATTTCACAGCCATACTCCGCAGCCGCAGTCGTAGGGGGACGGAATCTCAACGTCTCTACATCTCCACATCTTCCTCACTTTGCCCCTCCCATCTACTTCATCTTCCTCGCTTCACCTATCCCACTAATCTTGTCTCGAGTTTTTCGCCCTTCGGAGAAAACCCAAATACCACAGCCCAATTGAAAATCGGCCTGCGAGATCAAGGGTCGGTCGTCCTCAACGTTGAAGATCAGCAGTAGCAGCAGCGGCTTTGCTCTCAACGTTGAAAGTATAGTTTTTGCTTTTACGCACAAGTGTTCAATCGTATTTTGATAGATTATGTTCGGACCCTAGATATCTAGGCTGATTACTGTCAAATGTTTTTGAAATGCAGAGCTCAAAGGCGGTGAAAAGAAACGAAGAAGAAACTATCTAAGTTTTCCTATAAATTTCCAAATCATGTTACTACGTTGTTGAATTATGATGAATCCCTGTCCGCCATTGTGTCCTGTCCGCCATAGTGTATATAGTGTGAGCAGGGCGTCTGTGTATAGAATTCTTCTTTTTTGTTTAGGAGATCCGGTCACCAAGATGGGTTAATTGTTCATCATAGTTCTTGTTATCTTGAATCAGGGTCTTTTTTTTTTTTTTTCTGGTTTGCAATACACTGCGTGTGGAAGCATGGTCAATTTACTGGTTGAGATTCGAGACTGCTGTTTGCACTCATTTACAAAGTTTTCTGTCATAAGAAGTTGTTAGCCTTGATATTCTCATGATGCCTTTTGCTTTCTACTTACCCAAATCATGGCTCTTGCTCTTATTGTTTATGAAAGAACATATTTTTCTTATCGGGTAACGAGTTGGGTCATATTATCTGATAGTATTAACGAGTTAATTACGGGTCGGATTATATTACCCGTTTATTTTAACGGGTATTACACGACATGATCCGTTAAGCTATCAGGTATGACACGAAAACGACACGAACACGAGAAACACGACACGAATGCCAAGGTTGACAAAATATAGAATCGTAAAGGGTAAAATAGGCATAGAAAAAATTGAAAGTCGGTGAAAAATTTATTGTGAAAATATATAATTTTTAGGTTTTCGCTAAATACACTATCATGTAGACATGACATTTGTGTCGTATTTTTCGTGTTCATGTCATTTTTGTGTCATACCCGATATCTTAACGGGTCGTTTCATGTAATATTTGTTAAAATAAAGAGGTATTATGACCTGATACAGACTTGATCCGTTAATATTAACGGGTAATATGACCCAACCCGTTACTCGTTAAAGAAATTATATTTTAAACTAATAAATAATCAAATGAAAAACATAATACTAAATTAGTATATATATACCACATTGTAAGATTAATATTACTTCAAAACATAAAAACACATTTGTCTTTTAGGTGTCACATAAATATTAATTAGTGTAGAAGTATGGAAAGTATTGAAAAATATATAACTGCTCGTAATGACAAAATTTACAATTTTCGTGAAAAACTCAACTTTGAAATTCATCACTATAATCACATAAACCATACATAGATATTTAATCGTTGATTGTCGTTTACAATTACGCTCCATTCTTTTTAACAATTTTTTTTTCTTTTCAAAATTTTTTTTTTTTTTAAACATGATCATTTAGAGGATGAAGGAAGCTGAACAGTTCTAACCGTTGATATTATGTTCAGAGTTTTATCATTGGTGAAAATATTGTTCAGAGTTTATAAAGTCTCTTGAACCTATATAACATCAACTCCTATTTCAGTTAATCGTAAATATCCAAACGTGATATGAACGATCTAAATCGTTCATTTTCTACATCTGCTAAAAGAACATGTTTTCAAAAATGAAAATCTAAAAAAATGAAATTCGATGAGTAGAATAAATGGTACAACAATTGACGGTTAAATATAAATCTAAGGTTTATTGATTATGGTGTCGGATTTTGGGATTGACCCCTTTACGAAAGTTGTAAAACTTGTCATTAAGATTGATTGTGTGTGTATATTTTACAATTTTCACACTTCTACAATAATTATTATTATTAATTTTGCACTCAAATAAAAAAACAATATTCATGAGGGTTTGGATGGTTTTAAAAATCTAAACAACGATGTAACCATCGTCTGCACATGGATGCTGCAATCATGATCATTTATATATACTTTGACATTTCTCACACTTGTACATATATAATTATGATTTTTTATTTATTTTGAACTCCCCTAAAAATAATATTCACGAGGTCTTATAGGGTTTTAAAAATTCAAATGATGATGTACCCATCTCAAAGCATAAAAGATGCGATCACGAGCGTTTGCTTATTTTTCACATTTTTCGCACTTGTAAATTAATTATTATATTATTTTTTTAATGTGTTTGATATTTTTGAATTACTTTGATATTTTAATTTTTTAATGTATTTTATGATGTTTTAATCTCACTTTTAAGAGGATAGAACATTTATGAGTCTGACTGTATAAGAGTGTAAAAAACTTTGTAAGGTTGTTGACTCTAAAATTAAAAGTCTGTATTTTTGCCTATACTAATCCTATACTAGTTGATTTGAATTTTGGACAACATGTCAAATAAAATTTATCCCAGTAACGATAGTAAGAAACTCTCATAATAAGAATAAATAAATAAAACTTAATTTTTTTTAACTTATATAGAATAATAATATAATGATGCATATTTAATATACAATATATAGACTATGGCGATTGTATTTTATAGTAAATTTTTTTAGTAGTTTAACTTTAAGCCATCAAAATAATTTTTTCTTAACGGGTTGAAACGGGTTACCAGCATGTAAACGCATTAAGGACTCATTATTAACGGCTACTTAATGAGTGACCCAATAACAACCCAATTAGTTATCGTATTGACTCAAAACCTAATATTTTCGTGTCTTTTTAATGGATTGTGTAAGAAAGCTCTAATACGACATGATATTTTCGTGTCATTTTAATGGTTCGTGTAAGAAATTTTCAGGTCTACAAAATCAACCTTTCTAACTTAGAGAATTAGAATGCCTTACAATTTTTCTATAGTTTTTTTTTTAGTACAAAGACATATTTTACACTTTTTTTTTGTGGTGGGGGGGGGGAGGAGATGGGGGTTCGGCTAAGCCACACAATGGGCAACCTAAATTGGTATCGAATTCACTATCCACAAGATTCGAACCTAAGACCTCTCACTTACAAGTTATAAGTAAAGAGGAGTACTGACACACCCCGACCCGGAATGTCCACTAGGACTCCGAATCGAGCTGTGTTGGCTGACACCTAGAAGGTGACAAAGCCATAAAGTGTAGTGATGTGGAAAAATGTGAATAAATTTAAACCTAAAAGTGCCTAAATACAAGAGTGCGCAGTGAGTGGGAATGAACCCATTTTAGACGTGATGACAGAGCATAAGTATAGTACAATAAAATAGGGTGAGAATCAGACCATCGATGGTAATTATCTACACCAAGATTTGCCAATAATCCTCGTCGGTACGAAACTTTGCTACTAGAACCTAGAAGGGCAAAAAATAAGGGTGAGTGGGCTTGAAAATAAAGTTTTAATAAAAACCTTTGAAACATTATAACCGTAAAACAAGTATAGTTTCCAGAAAAATCATACTACGTATAAGTATGAAATCAAATGCATGCTAACAGTAAATCAAGAAGTACGCCACAACACTGTAACTCAATAGCAATACAAATATAGGCATGTGCTCAACAATCTATACTAGCACGCAAGTCGGAGTCACCTAATGTGACCGTGAAGGATAGCGTTATTCATTGTCACATACGAGTTGAAATTGCCTATTGCAATATGTACGACAAGGTTAGCACCTAACTTGGATCCAAGATAAGCGTGCAATGCTGATGTGAACATCACGTGAAGGACTAGCCTGGCCCTAGGCTGAGCACTAACACCTAGGTGTAGCAATGATGAGCCGACTATATGAATATAAGCATGCCATACAATTCAATCATTTCAACCAATACCATAAACTTACCTGAACTTACCTGCACATCCCGTAGGATAACTTTTTCTTTCACAACAATACAATATTTATGAGCAGGTAAAATTCATATGAAAATGCCATAATCAAATATAAATCTCAACTATCACAGCATTTTTAAAATTAGGCAAATCATGGCATAATATGCATAAATCAATTTAAAAGCATTTTTGGAAACTATCAATCACACACACACACACACACATACTATAAAAAGGAAAAAACCCACTCACCTGAGGTCTGCGCCACAACTCCCTAGCACGAACATCGAGGCATCACGAACGATCAGCGTCTAGAACAATTATCAAATCACGTTTCATAATCCTTATCGATAGAACATGTAACTTACATAAAACGTGATTTGATAATCCTTATTTGAAACCCATTGACCAAAAGTTAACCGTCAGTCAAAGGTCGACGATAAGGTCCATAACTCTACGTAACTCAATTCGGAAGATCCGCACCTCGGATTTCTGATCCGTAACTTCCAAAGATCCACATTATGCTTCTAGAACATCATACTAAAGTTTCATTACGATCCAACAGTTGGATCTTCCCGAATTGGATTTGTTTTCATAAAATAAAACGTTGACCACCAATTGAATTTGCAATTGTCACATCCCGACTCCGCTGTAGCACGATATTGTCCGCTTTGGGCCACGCCCTCACGGATTTCTTCCTGGGCAAGAAAACCTCACTACACAAAATGCATCATGTTAGGAAGAGAGGAGCATGAACATATAAAGCCAAGGACTAACCCTTACCCCGCCGATGTGGGATACTACAATCCACCACCCTTAGGGAAACTGTCGTCCTCGTCGGAACATCTGAACGGACAGTGAGTATGGCTCTGATAAGTACCACCAGACTGTAGTTTTGAGTGATATTTATCCCCTTTAAAGATTTCATTAAGGTGCTTTAACCAATTGTCACCTCAATAACTTTCTTTTTCTTTAATTTCCATGTCATTAACTCAAATGCATTTATATAGAGGCATAGCTTAGCAACTAATTGCCTATAATATAAGAAGGTTTAAATGTTAAAATGGTCCCTGTGTTTTAGCCATTGTGTCAATTTAGTCCCTGTGTTTTTAATTTTGCAAATTTGGTTCTTTTGTTTATCTTCATTGGCCAATTAAGGACATTTACATCTAATTTCTATAAAAAAAAAATTACAAATAACCATTAACTTATTTATAAAAATATTTATTTGATGTAAAATATTTAAAAATGAAATAAAATTAAAATTAAAAGAAAATTTATTCTTCTCCCAACTCCCCGACATCCTCCCTAACATTACTCCCTATTATGTCATAACCTTAATCATTTTTCAGATTGAAAGTTTTATCTCTTATATGTGTTACTTCTTATTGATTTTCATTTTTCTATAAAGAGAAAGGGTAATTATATCTTATATAATTTTCCTTATGAATTTTTTAAAAGATATTGAATGAAATGTCCTTAATTGGCTAACATAGACAAACACAATGACTAAATTAGCCAAATCGAAAACACGAGGATTCAATTGGCTATATAGCTATAACACAGGGATCGTATAAGAATGTTAAAATGTTAAAATGGTCCTTGTGTTTTAGTCATTATGTCAATTTAGTCCTAGTGTTTTCAATTTGGTCAATTTGGTCCCTGTGTTTATCTCTGTTAGTCAATTAAGGACATTTACATCTAATTTCTATAAAAAATAATTTATAAATAACTATTAACTTATTTATAGAATTA